GTCCTTGGTATAAAAAGGGTTTGTACGTTGTGTGTATGCGCATCTATGTATGTGTGTTTGTGTGAGTGTGTCTAAGTACGCACATGTGTTTGTGTGCGTACGTATGTGTGTATGTATGAGGTATCGTGTGCTGTACCATGCAGAATTTGATGTATGTGTGCATGTGAATTAAAAATGAATGCTATCTGTAACGCAGTTCGTAGGACGTTGAAGCCTTCATGTCAACAATCTCTCACTCAACTGTTGGTGTATGTTTCTTTGTTTGTATTTGTTTGTATGTTTCTTTGTATATGTTGGTAATAGTATATGTATATGTGTACGCGCGTGTGTGTTTGTGTGTATATCAATGTATGTGTTTGTATTTATTTATTTTTTGTTTGTTCCATTGATTTTTCCTAATTTTTCTTTTAAACAAATCGATACGAAAACTTATTAAGTTACTAACCGACTTTATAAGACTGCGCGCACACGCGCGCTCACGCACACACACGTACATAAAAACACACACGCACATAAACACACAACACACACAATGCACACGCATTCAATTATTTATGTTTGATTACGTATAATAGATAATGATGAATTTAAGAAGTAGGTGAATCACTTTTAAACTGTCAATCAAATTCTTTGAAGGTGGTCTACCTGAAATTCGAAGGGCATTAGCTTGTGTTAATAACCCAGCGTAGCTCAAAACTAACTATGTCTGCCGATACACCAGTACTTAACTGATTAGTCTCTTAGTTTAGTAATTATGGATATTCATTTAGTTTGTTTAATGACGTTGATTTGGTTTCATTCTTTTCTATTTTCTCTCTTTCTTTCTCTCTCTTCTCTTTTTTACTTTTTAATTTCTCTCTCTCTCTCTCTCTCTCTCCGATCTTTCTCTTGTCGGTTTGTTTTTCCCCTCTAAAAATTGTTGTCTTTCTTTTCCTCTTTCTCTTTTTGTCCTCATAATCTCTCCTATGCCCTGCTTCATCTTCACAAGACTAAATATAGGATTCAGACATTTAGGTATGTGTGTTAGTGTTCTACTGCGTTGGATTAGTAAGACATGACATGATGGTATGCACTTTTTTTTATCTCTCTCTCTCTCTCTCTCTCTCTCTTTCTGTCTTCTCTCTTTCTTTCTTCCTATCTTTTTCCTTCCCTTTTTCTATCTTTTTCCTCATCCTCTCTCTTTCTCTTTCTCATTTTAATAAAAGTGTTGTGAACTTTTGATTTTAGCAAATGCCCATAAATGGTGCGTCCTTTTGATTGTGTGACTATGGTGAAGATGATGATGATAATGACAAAGATGATGACGAAGATGATGATGATGGCGAAGATGATGATGATTTCGATGATCCTGATGATGATGACGTAGACGATGACGTTTGACGAGTCAACTTTTTTTTATTATAGTTCATTGCTTTATCTCTCTATGGTTATACTCTATTGTTATGTATTGTAATGATGAAATTTATAACAGTAATAACAATAAAAACAATAATAATTATTATTATCGTTGTTTTTGTTATTATTATTTTTATTATCCTTTCTCTTACTTTCCATTCGCGCACGTGTGTTCAGAAGCGTTGTAGGTCTTTGAACTAAAATATGGAAAATAGATCTTCTGTTACATTCGATGGAATGCTTCTCACCGTTTCAAACACACACAGACACACGCACACAGACACACACGCACACAGACACAAACAATTAATAATCATTATGAATCATTAAAGATGGTTTTTCTAGCTATCTTATATATACAATATACATACATACATACATATATATATATATATATATATATTTATATATATTTATTTATATATATATTTATTTATTTTATTTTATTATTTATTTATATTTTTATATACATACATGCATATATATATATATATATATATATATATATATATATATATATATATATATATATATATATATAATTGTCAAGTTTCTTGGGTTCAAAACCAAAATTTTATTTTATTTGTACGTGTTTGTAGGCGCGCGACGTGCAAGTATGTTAGTATCATAAACATCTATGTAGCATATCATACAGATGCCCATGGTTTGTATGTATGCAAATTTAAAATGGTTTTGAAGTTTATTTGAAAATCATTTCTTTCAACAGCAACAGTAATAATAAAACTATAATAATAATAATAATAAATAATAATAATAATATTATTATTGATTGTTATTGAGCGAATAAAAATATTGAATGGGTGAATGAACGAATGGATGGATAAATAAATAACTAACGGTATTAATAACAACATCAATAACAATAACAACAATGATAATTATGGTTTAATAATAATAATAAATTTAATTATTATTATTATTATTATTAATTATAATTAATTATTGTTTTCCTCTTCCAAGTGACTATGCCATTTTTGGTTTTGCCCTTTAAATAGAAGAAAAAAACACCGTCGTCGTCGTCATCATTATCATAATCATCTCTGTCATCATCATAATCACTACCATCATCATCGTCATCATAATCATCATCATTATCGTAACCTGGAAAATGTGATCAAAGTGATGACAGAGAATAAGATCTCTACGATGATGAAGAAGAATTCTATTGAAACCAACAACACTTCCAGCCAGGCTACGTAGGTTTGCCATAGTAACAGATATAAGAGACCTGTGTGTGTTTGTGTGTATGTGTTTGTGTGTGTTTGTATGAATGTGTGCGTGTATATGTATATGTTTGTATGTATGTGTGTGTGTGTATGTTTGTATGTGTGTATGTTTGTATGTATGTGTGTGTGTACGTATGTTTGTATGTATGTATGTGTGTATGTTTGTATGTATGTGTATGTTTGTATGTATCTGTGCGTGTGTATGTTTGCATGTGTCTGTTTGTGTGTTCAATTAATATATCTAGAGTAAGTAGTAAGTAATTAGTAATATAATTAATATATAATATAATAATAATTATTATTATTATTAATTATGGAGGAAATATGATGAACCGCCAATCAACGGTAGCGACATAAGTAAGGATTCAAGTACCAGCTGAATTTTCTCAAATTTATTGCCGTAGTAACCTGAAATTGTAAAAATATTTACAAATATTCAAAAGCATGAGCTAATATTTGAAAACATGAAATACTGGTCTCAAACTCTCAAACACACACACACACATACATGCAAACACGTACACACACACAAACGAGCATGTTGACCTGTATATACTTTAAGCGTCCCAAGAACTGATAATATTATGGTAAGGATTATTTCAGACGAAAATACATTTCCCGGGTATGGAAGGATTAATCCTGTGTGACAAAATCTATTCATAGTGAGATGCCTTTTTTTAGCTTTTCACTCTTAACAAAAGCTATTATTATTTCTATTATTATTGTCGTGATTGTTGTTACTATTAGTAGTGCAGTTGTTAAGTCGCCTTGTCTTGCGGTTAAAGTTACTGGCTTCGAATGCCAAGAGATCTCTTTTATCTCTCGCATGCAATGTGTGTGTGTGTGTGTGTGTGTGTGTGTGTGTGTGTGTGTGTGTGTGTGTGTGTGTGTGTGTGTGTGTGTGTGTGTGTGTGGAGATTCAAGCGCTGTATGTATTTTGTTGGAACCTCAGAAAACTGATCGTAAAAATAAAATAAATAAGTAAATAAAATATAGAATATATATAAACCTTTCCAAATAAACACCCCGATTTCGGCAATGGAAAATAGAATTATGTACCAGAAGTTAAAGTACAAAAAGATCTGGTATGGGACAGAAGACCTCTTTTATTTTTATAATTTTTTTTATCATTGACATGATCATCGTTATTGTTATCATCGGTAGTAGTAGTAGTTTTAGTAGTAGGAGTAGTAGCAGCAGCAGCAGTAGTAGCAGCAGTAGTAGCAGCAGCAGTAGTAGCAGCAGCAGTAGTAGTTGTTTTTGGCGTTAAATTTCTTAATGTTAAGTTGTAATCATGATTTTCTCCATTCGTTATTTTCATCATTCAAATCGAGTAGACTGACCACTAACCACTAAAAAAAAACCATTGATTAAATACTTAACGAAAAGGATACAATGGGGACATATTTATCTGTGAAACAAAAATCATTTTAATTATTTATTTGTATATTAAAAAAATTTAACTTAGAAAATAAGAAATATTAATATTGTAATTGTAAATAATGGCATAAGAAGCTGATAAACGGATAAGATAAATAAAGGTAAGCCGTTGTTGGTACCGTAACCAATCGTGTTAAAGTCTCGTTTTTTAGTTTTCATCTTTTTTTAGCTCTTTTCCCTACTTTATTTATTTAATTAAGTAAATTATTCTATCATTTGTAACCAATAATCATTTATTAATTGATTTAATTAGAATGAATAATTTTCTCCATTTTTTTTATTTACACTGGTAACCATGGTAACCAGGTGTTAAAAAGGCAATCGAATTTCGACTTCTTTAGGGTATTACCGTTATGTCAACATGGTTTTTCTTGGCAAACGTCATTAATTATTTGGAGTTTCCATTTTGAAATTGTATATTTACATGTTTAAGAGATTTAATTAATATATTAGAAACCTACCAGCCTAATTTACAATAACAAATAAACGCCACATTTAAAAAAATCAAACTATAGTACGTACTTAATAATATGAATCAATTCAAGATGCTACATATAAAAAGCGTCAAAATTTTCATTTTTATGTTCAGGAGATTGTGTACTACACGAATCTTAAAAAACTACCAGCCTAATTCACTATATCAACCATATATTTATATAATTATATACATCCATGATATCAAAGCCACATACTGTAATACTTAATGATAACTATTGGGTAAATTCGCTAATATTATATATCAAAAAAGTCAGAAGTTTTATTAACGTATTATAAATTTTTATGCTATATATTTATAAATATATATATATATATATATATACATAATTGTCTAAATTTATTGTATAAAGTTAGGAATGTAAATTTTTTAATATAAATCGAATTCTCTTTTCATCATTGTGTGTTGCTTAATATCGAGAAATGGCGGTTTTGTCGTATTTAAAAACGAGTTTGAGTTTAATAATAATGTTCATGTTATTACTGATTTTACCATTTTTTAATGCTCAAAAGGCTGATTTTGAAGGTTAGATTCTTTTAAATAAACTTGTTAACTTTTGTTAACGAAGTTGGAAATTTTTAACAATAGGCTTGTTCAGTTAATTAACTGTTGTTAAGACTTAACTTAAGTTATGTTTTAAAGTTAAGTCTGTTAATCACAAAACCAGAAGTTTATCCGTTACGTCTGGTTGGTAAAAGACCCAACAGAGGCCGTCTGGAGGTCCTTTATAAAGGACAATGGGGCTCAGTGTGTTCTGATTGCTTTAGAGAATTTCATTGCAACATCATATGCAGGCAGCTTGGATATAAGTATGGTTATTTATTATTATGGTTGTTGAAGGTTAAATGTTAAAGGTTAAATTATTAATTATCATAAAAAAATATTTTATTCATGATTTTTATTGTTATATTGTAATAATAATAATAGTTTTGTTATTGTTATAATCAAAATATTATTTTTTATTTAAATTTTTTAATTTTGAATATAAGTGGTGGTCAGTGTCTGTCGGTTGAGTCCAATTATCATTGCAGAACTAAGAGACCAGGTGATAGTTATTAGTCAATTAATTAATTTGTTCATTTGTGTGTGTGTATTTGTGTTTGTTTGTGTGTGCGTTTTTGTGTTTGTTTGTTTTTTGTGTGCGTGTGTGTGTGGCGTTAGTGTGTGTTTAATTAAAATTATAAAGGTTATACATTTATATATGGTAGGTTTTTTAATTCTGGATGATTTTGAGCTCATGGCAACAATAAAATATAAAAATAATAACAATTGTAATAATGATAATTGTTTAAAATAATTTTCTTTAACAGATGATTTTGAAGATTTAAAAAATGGCCCGATATGGTTGGATCAGGTGTGTTGCCTGGGTCACGAGGGCAACATCTTTCAGTGCCCCCATCAGAATTGGGGCGAGACTGACTGCACCCACGATGAGGATGTTGGTTGTGACTGTGATGTTACTGGTAAGATTTTTTGGTGTTTTGTTTTAGTGGGTTTGTTTGTATGTCTTTCTGTCTACATGTTTGTCTATATGTCTGTTTATTTATTATATTTATAACAATTATTATTATTTCTTATTATTTTAATTATAATTAGTTTTAATAATTATCATAATTCTTTGCAGCCAACCTGTCAGATGTCTATAGGATAATTCCTTTCGATGTTAACCATCCATGGATTGGTATTGTCCAGTTGAGAGTTAACAATAACCACGGCGATCATGATAGTGATGGTGGTGATCATGGTAATGATGGCGGTACTCTTGGTTATAATGATAAGGATCGTGATGATGATGATGGTGGTGGTGGTTATGATGATGATGGTGGTAGTTCTTGGGTTGGAGTCTGCTCAGAGCACTGGGGACATGTTGAGACGCTGATGTTTTGCACTGGATTAGGATATGTCGAGTGAGTTAGGGAATTAGTGTGATCTTCCTCTCTCTTTCTTTCTCTCTCTTACTCTGTAAATCAATCAATCCATCAATAAATAAATCATCCATATATATATATATATATATATATATATATATATATATATATATATATATGTAATTTAGCCTAATTATCTAATTATATCAATATCCAAATCAATCGTTCAATTATTTTAATCAACCATCCAACCAACCACTTACTCAATTAACCACTTAATTAATCAATTTCAAATCAATCAATCTACCAACCAATCAATTAATCGATCAACTCAAGCCGCACCACCAACGTCTACAATAACTCAACAGGAATTCATCAATGAAGCAACTGATCCCAAACAGAAAGCACACCCATCAACTAAAATCACTCAACCACACTAAGCTACTGAACAAGATTCTACACTGCACGGAAGAGGATCTGAAAAATGGCGGGAGTATTTTGCAGTGTAAAAGTGAACTTAGTAGGCCGGATAATAAATGCAAGTCTAAGAAAAGTTTAGCCCTAGTTCAGTGTCATCTGCCTATTGAATACACTTTTGATGAAGGCATGTGTTTCTATTGTTTTTGTTGTTACTATTATCACTAATATAATTATTATTATTTATTATTATTTTATTATTTTGCAGGCACAACAGTCTCAACAGTGAATTGCACAATGCATAGCATGTTGCTCTGTATAAAGCCAAATAGAAAGACATTCAATCCAAAAGATTCGTCGACTACTTTGGCGCCAAAATGCGATTTTGGCGCCATTTCTCTACCTTTCAGTGAAGAGTTTGGTTATTGTTATGATATTGACCTGAAGAAGTGTAGGCCTGCTAGTGAAATTGGCGGGAAAAAATCGGTTAGCTGGTTATTTGGTTGATTGGTTGGTTGATTTAATGATTGAATGAAGAGCTGGCTGGAAGGCAGGTTGGTTGGTCGGTCGGTTGGTTGGTCGGTTGGTTGGTCGGTTGGTTGGTTGGTTGGTTGGTTGGTCGGTTGGTTGGTCGGTTGGTTGGTCGGTTGGTTGGTCGGTTGGTTGGTCGGTTGGTTAGTTGGTCGGTTGGTTGGTTGGTTGGTTGGTTGGTTGGTTGGTTGGTTGGTTAGTTGGTTTGTTGCTCGGTTGGTTGGTCGGTTGGTTGTTTCTTTATGGATGAATAGATGGATTAATCAGTAGATTGATTGAGTGTTTGTTTGGTTGGTTGATTGATTGATTGATTGAAGAGTTGATTGATTGATGCCACCCAGATTGATTCACTGGCGGAGAAAAGTTACTGCTACGACATCTCCTTCCAGGCGAAAGACAACCCACTCTTCCTTCCAGGCTCTCTCGTCAGAAGGGGCTGCTGCCAGCTGCTGAAGTCTGCAAATGTCACTACCACCTTCTCTCTATCGTCCAGTAAAAGAGAGCAACCCGATCTTGATGATGATCTTTACGGCCTCTACTACGATTCCACACCAAAAGACAGAAAATCATCACTACTCTCTATACCTAGAAGGGTAAACCAGAGCATCAGGCCGAAATTATCTATAAAATGTTCACGGATTAGGCATCGAGCGTCCGGCAGCGATTATGATGATGGTGAGGCTGTTAGGAGGGGGTCCAGTGTTTTATGTGAAGTTGGCACTGTGGATGTCTGGGATGAGCATTTGAAGCTGGTAGTGACGGACTGCTGGCTATCTGCCGCTGCGGCTGCTGGTGGTGATGACGATCCGGCTGAAGAAAATGTTCCAGAAACTTCTGGAAAATCTCTTACGAATCGATCGTTTTTCATCTTTCGAAATAAGTAATTTGATTTTTTTTCAAGCTCTATTTAGCGTGTTAGCATCGTCAAACAGACATAGTTTAGATTTTTTTTTAGAAATACGTTCATTCATCCTTCACTGCGAACTACCAACAATGCCATAAACATTTAGATCAAATTACATTCAAAATATACCTGAAAAAAAAATTGACCACTACTCGTTCAGGTGCGAAACAACCCCCCTGTTGGATGTCCACACCTACAATCTGGATGGACGTCACAAGTGGGCCATAAGCTTCTACCTACCCAAATATGAGTCGTCTAGATTTGTCCATTTTTCATGTGATGCCCACCTCTGTGACCTACAGCAGTACAATAAGAATAATAATAATAAGGATAATAATAATAATAAAAATAATATTAATGATGGTGACGATGATGGTGATGATGATGTTAAAAGTAGATGTGATCGATCTTGCGGTGATGATGATGATGGTACTAAAGATGATAATGATACTAAAGATGATAATGATACTAAAGATGATAATGATACTTTAGATGATGATGATAGTGATACTAAGTATGATGGTGATGCTTATGGGGAGAGCTCGGTTTCAAATAAGCAGCGGGATGACAATGATGATGATGATGGTGGTGGGGATGTTGATAAGAGGAACGATGATAATAACATTAACTCAAGTGACAGCATCAAGGACATTCATAATCTTATCATCAATGGTAATGGTGGCTTTATTACTGAAGGTAATGAAAGTAGTAAGTATAAAATAAGTGACGCTATGGCTGCTACTGCTGCTGCTGCTACTACTACTACCACTACTACTACTACTACTACTACTACTACTGCTACTACTACTACTACGACTATTACTACTAGATTAGGTGTTAATATTACTGTGAAAAAAGTGAATCTAAACGATGAAAACCGATCGAGTACTGTGATGAAAGTGAATCTAAGTGATAAGAGTACTAAATCAAGCGGTGACGACCGGACGATGTCCGGCGATGATGACGATGGGCTACTTGTTGGACATCCAAGAGTTAGGAGAAGCAATGTAGGTGGGAGGACGCTGAAAGAGTTTAGCGATGGTGATGATAATAATGATGTTAATAAAAATAAAAACTATAATAATAATAATGGTGACGATGGTGAAAAGAGTAAGAATAATAATATTGGGATTGATGGTTCTACCGATAAAGATTTGGTTTATGCCGGTTTGGAGGAAGTTTTTTTTTATGTTGAATTTTTGGTTTTAGTTTTTGTCGTTTTTTTTAGTGATTCATTCGCTCGTGCATTCATTCATTCATCTATTCATTCATCTATCCATTCCATTTATCTATTAATTCATCTATCCATTCATCTATCCATTCATACGCTCATCTAGTATACTCCCCAAGCATTATCATTTGTTTACACTTATTCCCAACCAACTAGCCATTCATTAATTTATTTTATAATTTACTAATTTGTTCATCCATTCACTCATTCTCTCGTTCATTCATTCACTAATTCCCTTGTTCATTCATTCACTCATTCATTCACTCTATCAACCAAAAATTTATTCCGCGAATGATTTTTCCACCACCAATCAGCATTCGAGGACGCGAAGAAGGGCAGCCAGGTCGGCAGGGGGTTTGTGACGGTGTCCCTACCAGGCTCCATGATGTTCATCTCGTGTTCCACGGTCACCTTCCTCATCATCATCTTCCAGGTGTACCTGAAGAGGAGGAGGAGGAGGGCTAACCTGAACGGAGAGAAATTCTTGAAGATTGAGAAGCTTGGTGCTATGAGGTGACGCGTGCGCGCCTAGTCGTACACACATACATATACACACACAAATACGTACACACACACACACACACACACACGTACATACATATACACACATACATACATATACACACATACAAACAAACACAAACACGCACCTGTATAATTGATAATATGTCTATATATGTATGGTTTTTATTTCATTCGAGAGAAAAAAATGAAACTCAGTAATTTAGTTTTTAGTTTTTAATTGATGTTAAAGTAGAATAAATTAAAATAAAACAAATACAAAGTTATGGCTTGAATGTTACTAAAATATGTTATAATCGTTGTAATGTACACTGTGGAAGAAAGAACAAAAAAAAATGAAAGAAAGAAAAAGCTGTGAACGAATGAAAGTTAATTAATTAATTGCGTAATTAAGTTTATTTGTTATTCAATATTATTCCCCAATACCGTTGCATATTATATAACTCTTTTTTACAATAAAATCAATATTTTAATAAATGGATGGAGGAGGGATTCTTTGAATGGATGAAAACAAATGAATGGATGAACAAATAAACTAATGAACGAATGAATGTAATCAATTAATCTGACAAACAATATATATATATATAACTAGTTTTTTGGTTATTTGGATAATTTTCGAAGAAGCTATGTTTTAGCACAGTATTACATATAAATAAATAGATGTGTGTATTGTGTTGAACTGTATCATTTCATACATAATGTATTGTTTTGTGTATATTCATGCGAAATTAATTTAACACACGCATACATACATACACGCACACACACACACACAAACGTATTAATGTCATCTCATCATCGTATGCTGTTATAGACACGTTAAATTTGTGTTTTTTATCTTCACAAGTTGATAAAAATTTTAAACAGAATGAAATGTTATCAGCTACCCGTTGTGTTATGGTCGCATACGTAAATAAATATATAATTAAATAAATAGTTGAATAAATAATTAAACATTTGTATGAATAGAGGCATGTGTCACTAACTTTAAAAGCACCTTATTTGTTGGTCTCCCCCTATGCGAGGCCTTCTTCGCCAAAAAAGGTTCAACAGCCAGAATTTATGACCAAAAAAAAGGAGCACAAATCTTTAAAAATTTTTCCCCCTGGTCAAAAAATTTGCTATTTCAAGTAAATATGGGCCCCTTCAGAGTAAAAATAGTCTCATTGCCGGCCTCCACAGCAAAAAGTTTGCCCACCCCTTATATATGTCATTACAATAGTTTGAACGTTAAAACTCAAGATATAATGCCATTGGATGGTTCTGCTTTTTTTGCATGGCAAAGATTACACGAAACTAATTAATAATTATTAATATATATGTATATATATAAATATAATATTATAATGATTGTAATAATATAAAATATATATACAATATATATATATATATATGTTGGTAATAGACCATAATTTTTACAATATTCTATATTTGGTAGAATTTATAGAATATTTAAATATATATATATATAAAGAGTATACGCGAATATATGCAGGTAGTAAACGATAAATGATATATTATTTAGTTAATAAAATAGAAATAATAAAATAATAATAATTATTTATTATTATTATATTTTATTCAAGTCATCCGTTGAGCCTCTTTCATTTTTATCGCCTTCTTCGGTCGTTGGATCTTCCATCTGTCAATCAAATGAATGTATGGATGAATGAATGAATGAACGAATGGATGAATGAATGAAAGAAGGAGGGAAAAGGGGAAAGAAGGAATGTGAGAATAGCAATTTTTGACACAACTCTATTGATAAAAATTTTAAAATCAATATAGAAGGAATTTAAATATCGTAGAAATTGAACCAGTCTGAACATAATTTGAATACGTTGTACAACTACACAACACGCACACACACATATGTAATGTATATATATATATACACACACACAGAGAGAGCCTATACGTATGATGAATCAACAGATCGGAAAAATAAAAAAAATTAAAAAATTGTTACTCACAGTTTGGGCATCTGCCAGAGCTTGCTTGGCTAAAAAGTGCTCTCTTCTGATTTTTATATCCAGAGATTCGGGAATGTCCGGGACCATGATATCTATCAACCGGCAAATGCCGAACACAACGTGCTGGAAGTTGTATCATTATTTCAACCATATCGTTGCCCCCAAATTCATCATCATTATTATTATTATTATTAGTAGTAGAAGTAGTAGTAGTAGTAAAAAAACTCTACCTCGAATACGATGATGAACGCCAGTCTTACGCACATCAGCTGCCAATAGAATTGCGTCCGATTGCCTTCTACATCTCTAAAATCTCGATACCTGGAGTGTGATTTGCAAAGTAAAACTTTGTTAAATTGTCATTCATCGTTACGGCTGCCGCCGCTGTTGCTACTACTCCTACTCATGTTGCTACTACAACAGCTACTTATACCACTACTATCACTTCTACTTCTATCAGTCTTACTGCTACAACTGGTAATATTTTTTCGTTATTGTTCACCACTTTCTTATTGATACTGCTGCTACTACTTCTACTACTACTTCTACTACTACTTCTACTACTACTACTACTTCTACTACTACTACTACTACCGGTTGCTATTACTACTACTTCTACTAACATAATAAAAAAGATCATAAATATTATCATCATTATAATTACGACATAAATAATTAATAATAATTTTTTGTGAATTTTTTTCAAAACGTAACCTGCATGGTTCAGACATGGTGTTATTGGGCGCCCAGGTCAGCGTGAAATTAACATAGCCATCCAGCTTATTGCCGTGCTGATACGAGTAGAGCAGTTTGGGCAGAAACTCAGACGTGAATGCTATTAAAAATGCCTGAAAAGGTCAAAATTGATTTTAAAAATTAACAATTTTGTGGGTTATTATTTGCCATTTTTTCTTTTTAAAATGAGAATTTTCAAAGCTGGAACAGTAATGCGAACTGGAAAATTTAAGTTAACAAACATTGCTATAACATATATTGATTCTTAATAGTTGAACTAGAAAACTTCATAAGTAACGAACACGAACAAGCTGTACAAAAAAAAATTTGTAACAAAAAAACTAGACAGTAACTACCAAGAGACTGTCCAACTCACATTGCTGATAACCGCAAGCTGCGCCAGGGCGTCCAGAATCTGGAACCAGACCCCGATGTCCTGGCACCTTTCGGCCACGGGCCTTCTGGTCTCGCAAACGAACTTGTGGGCATCCAGCCTGATTTCCAGCCAGTTGTTGAGGAGGGCGAACAAGGGTGCGATCGGAAAGGCGGCGACAAATATCGTTATGAAACCAAACTGCATCACTGTGGATGTATTGTTTATGGGATGGAATGGAACATGGTGTCATTTGAAATCCTTTTTAAGGTGCCATACTGGCTATCTTCTTCTATTGCGGTTATTTAGCGCCAAAAACAACACAGCGTACGAATCAGCGTTTCACCGACATTGCATGTGGCCGGTGGAGATTTATATGCGTTCGAACAAGGTCACAGCCACGCAAAACTAGGCGTCTTATTCACCGCACTCTCACATATGAATGATTCGATCATCTACATGAAATACACACAATAAAACGCACTTAGGCATATATAGCAGTATTGGTACGAATACGTAATAATAGTAGTAGTAAAAAATAGTAGCAGCAGCAAAAAATATGTAGTAGTAGCGCCAGTAGCAGCAGCAGTAGTAGCAGCAGTAACAGCAGTAACATTATCATCAATATCATGATAATTCTGCTTTTACTTCAACTCACCCATCTCTAGATACTCTTCAAATAAGCCTTCGTTCGCGATCAGTTCGTAATCTTCTTCCCAGCGGGTCTTCACCTTGTTATCCACTATCTTTCCAATTTTCCATTTGTGATATACTCCTTTCAGTTTGCTGTGATCATTAGTAGAAATAGTAGTATTAATGGTAGTAGTAGTAGTAGTAGTATTAGTAGCAGTAGTATTAGTAGTAGTAGTAGTAGCAGCAGCAGCAGCAGCAGTAGTAGTAGTAGTAGTAGTAGTGGTAGTAGAAGTAGTTGTAGTATTAGTAGCAGTAGTAGTAGCAGTAGTAGTAGTAATAGTAATAGTATTGGTAGTAGAAGTAGTTGTAGTAGTAGTATTAGTAGCAGTAGTAGTGGCAGTAGTAGTAGTAGTAGTAGTAGTAGTAGTAGTAGTAAATTATTATAAATTATTTTGAAAAATTATTACTTACGGTATGACAACTTCCTGGACATTGTTAATTATCTGCTTACCAACCATCACTACGCCCAAATTAAGCGCTAGCTCAATCAGACATTCGCCATTTTGGCACTGAAAAATTGTGAACATATTATTATTAAATTATATTACAAACTGATGGATGGAATAAAAATGTTAGAGTGGATGGGGACTATAAACGAGGATTAATTGATTATATTACATATTAATATTTGTGTGTGTGTGTTTTTATGTTTGTTTGTACGTGTATGGTGTGTGTGTGTGTGTATGTGTGGGTGTGTGTGAGTATCTTTTCCTACCTCTTCCATTCTCAATCCTAACATCATACTGTAGTTACCAGGATAGCCGACAAATCTTCGAGAGAAAAGATTTTTATTATTATTATTAATTATAATTAATAATTATAGTTACTATTATTAATTATTATAAATTATTGTTCATTATGACTATTCTTATCACTAACTTTCCTTTAACGAATCCGATGTAGATGATCGAGGAGTACAAGTTGACGAACTGGAAGATGAAGACCTTGAATGTTAGCTGGTTCTCAAAGTCCGTCTGAGTCCTGTGCATTTCTACAAAAATTATAATATAATAATAATTATTATTATAATTATTATGTATGTGTATGTGTGTGTAAGATAGAGAGAGAGAAAGAGAGAGAGAGAGAGAGAGAGAGAGAGAGATACATACCCCCATTGTGAAAAAGGAAGAAAGATAAATACCCCATTGCGTTATTTTCTTAGCTAATCTTTCGTAAACTTTACTGAGGGCTAGGATGATGATGAGATTGACAAACGAAGCAGAAACACTGGCAAATAAGTTTGCCTGCTGGTGGAGAATTCCATCGTTTGGCAACTTTATCAGTATCATTACTATCAATACCCTGTACATTATCACCGCTATGATGAAGATCATCACTAGACATATCTGTGTGTTCGTGTGGAAGTTGATAGTAGTAGTAAATTATATTTATGAATATTTAATTATGTTAATTAATTATAATCTATATACTTGCCATCATAATGACGACTCCCAATCCAGACACGATTCTCGGAATTCGGTCCCGTTTCGGAAAGTAAGGTTCCTTGATTCCCGTTATCGGGTTGGTCTCGTATGTACTACATTTGGCTACGTACTCTGCCCTCGGCCTTTCCTTGTGACGTCATTATTATAATTATATTTATAATAATAATTATGGTTATAAATATCCTAGGGCGAATCAATGCATCGCATAGGTTCAGTAGGTACGACAGCAGTGTCAGGCGCAGTAGTTATTAAACCGTCACGCCAACCAATTATTATAACAATCATAATTATTATTATCATAATAATAATAATAATTATTATTATTATTATAGATAAAATATATTAACTTCTTCGTCTTCAAAATCCAGGCAATCCCAATTGTAGGCTAGATCGGCAGTTTTTCTCTTCCAATATTCCAGAAATGAAACCGCTGTTTAAGTATATTATCGCGGAAATTTTATTTCATTATTATGAATCATAATTATTTATAATATATCATAATATATTAACTTATATTTATAGTTATCATTTATAAAAATGTTTAAACCTTATAAACAATATGTGCCTCGACCATAGAGTCACATATTTTGACGTACCTGACGCATTTGAATTCGGTATCACAGCTTATAACCAAAAGTTATATAAATATAAGAATAACAGTAAAAACAGCCACAACAACAACAACAACAATAATAATAATAAGACCACAGACCCCAAAAAGACATAAAAATCGAGAAGAATACGGTCCCAGGATTATCGAATAGATAGGAAAGCTTCTTGAACATGCAGATATCCGACAGAAGCCAAAATTGACATCCGGATTGGGTGCTACAGAGTGGGCACATTTTGTACGTACTTCCGGAAGAACATGTCTCTTTCCTGTGGTACGGATAGGGATAATGTCAACGGTGATTATCTGATTATAACTACTATTATTGTTGTTGTATCACATTTTCTTTATCGCTCTCCTACTCGGTTTCTCTCCTTTTTTCATTTCTCTCTCTCTCTCTCTCTTTATTTCTCTGATTTCTATAAAGTTTTTTGCCACATATCTCAAATAATGAATAATTTATCTCGAATAATGAAAAATTAATGATAAATAATGAATAATTAATGTTAAATAATAAATAATTAATGTTAAATAATGAATAATTAATGCTAAATAATGAATAATTAATTTTAAAAGATGAATAATTCTCACGCTGCTGTGTTGGTGCTCATCGTAGATATGCCATAGACGAAGATGATGACTCCAACAATTGACGCCGGTAACAACCAAGCGGTATAAAATCCTTTTCGAAGAAAATTATGAATAAATAATTTAAAAACATTATTATGACTAATTGATCTTGAATAATTAATAATATTATTATGCTGTTATTTGATGTTAAATTATAAAAAATCTAATTGTGAAGTTTGTTTTGAAAATTATATTTAAAAGTGTAAACCAAGGCAACAAACACATTACATTGAATAGCGATAAACTTTAAAATTTCAGAACACATTTTTTAAATTTCGCAAAAACAAAACCCCTACTCACCGAGCCAGGCAAAATAGATCCCAATTTTTTCCCCAAAATATTCTCGAATATGATTTAGGGGTTGATATTTGTACCATCGTCCCCATTTGGCCCAATACTCAAAGAGAATTTGCCGCGGGTTCAGAGTTTCGGGTTTCTCGATTTCTTGGGGTAACTCATAAACCCCCTGACAAAAGTAAATATGAATCAAATTGACGAACGGACAGACAGACAGCCAGATAGTCAAGCAGACAAACAAAACATAAACACAGAAACAAAACAAAAACAGCACCGAATGTAACGGGAAAGCAGCGGTGAAGACATCATCCTCGACCATCCTATCAACTCCCACTTCGGCTTTCTTCTTACGACCGTAAGTCGTCTTGCTGAGAATCTCGTAAGCCACTCGGGACCTGTCTCGCTCTTTGAAAAATGTTTCTTGGTTGTCACCGCCTATAAATCTAAAGAAAATTATACAAATAGTCTAGTAGTAGTAGTATAAGAAGCAGCTACAGCAGCAGCAATAATAGTAGTACTCAAAGTGGTGGTAGTAGTAGTAGTAGCAGTAGTAGTAGTAGTAGTAGAAAAAGCAGCTACAATAGCAGCAATCATGGTATAAATAGTAGTAAAAAATTATCTAAGAAACTAAAACGAATAAACATTGATAAAACTAATAAAGCAAACCTGTTACACGCATACAAAAAGCATACGAAATACATACATACATACGTATGTACGTACGTACATACCTACTTACATGCATACATATATACAAATATATACACACACACATACATACATACATACACACACACACACACATACATACATACATACATACACACACACACATACATACATACATACATACTTACATACATACATACTCGCTAAATGCCCCTCTGTGCGAGACCCATAAACTAACATTAACAAGCGAATTGGGGCAAAATGATGGTTTTTATGACTGTTGTTTTTAACCATGGGTTCGTACATATACACATACAAACAAACAAACAAAAAGAAACAAATATACAAACATACATATGAACATACAAACAAACAAATATACATACATATTTTATTATACATCATTTATTTATTTACCCATTTTAAGCCACTGATCAATCAACCAATAATAAACGCTGGATTAAATATACGTAGCGTCAAAGCATCATTAATAATTACGATTTATTATTATTATAATTTATTATTATTATTATCATTATCATCATCATCATCATCGCCACTGTCATATTATATTGTTTCGAACGATCTTACAAACCAAATGCGGATGGCGATCACATTATCATCAGTGACATGATCCTCATACAACAACAACAAAACAACAACAACCACAACAAAAACAACAACAGCAGCAGCAACAATAATAATAATACCTCTATTTGTTCGCACAACACATGTCCCATATAAACTGGCTAGGGAGAGAAATCGATATTTCAACATAGTGCTTAACCGAACGACATATTGTGTTGTTATTATTATTATTGTATTTGTTGTTATTATTATAATAATTACTATTATTATTATTATTGTTAGTGTGTGTTTTTGTATACGTTAGCGAGATTATATTCACGTCAATCACGTCCTTTCATCATTGAGCCCATTATCTTTATCACATTCGAAACATCTCCCTTTGGATTTTACAGGAAAAAGAAAAAGTGAGAAAGAAGGAAAGAAAAAAGAGAGAAAAAAGAGAGAGTGAGAGAGAGGCAAAAAGAGACAGACAGACAGACAAATAGGGAGAAAGAGGCGAAGAAACAACATAGAACATGAATGTGAAGGGCTTGAAAGACCAAAAACGGTGAGAGAGAATGAGAGAGAGAGAGAGAGAGAGAGAAAAACAAAAAAACGAATGAGAATAAACAGTAAACAAAAGGAAAAGAGAGAGAGAGAAAATTGAGAAACGAAGAGAATTTACAAATCAATGACGTCCATTCTTCTTAAATGCGAACGGCGGAAAATAAGTGATAGCGGTCGAAATCATTACCGATGTAGGCATAATGTTATAGATAATAATTTATAATTTTTTTTATTGATTGATTGATCGATTCATTCATTCATCCATCCATTCATTCATTTATTCATTCATTCATCCATACATTCATTCATTCATTCATTAATAAACAAATCATATACGAAGATGTGTGTTAAAATTCATAGAATGCCCGCATTTTTCAATCTCAGCGGAAGATGTTAATATTGATTTTCCCTTGACGCACACACGTACACACGCACACACATACATACAAACACACACACACACACATACATACATACAAAGTGACACACATATTCATAAGTACGTACAGACTATACAGTTAGATGCATATTTATATGACGGTACAAAATTTAGCGATATTTGTTTTGCCTTCGTCGAATCGTTCATCAAGTTGTCATCATCATAGTCTTTATCATCATCATCATCATCGTAGCATCATCGTCGTCGTCATCATCATCATCACTATATTCATCATCATCATCATCATCGTCGTCTTCAACCCTGGCAATAATCACAAATAAGATAAAATAATGAACAAATAATTTAAAACCATTACAATAATTTAAAAAAATTTTAATCTATTGCCAAATAATAGGCTTAGTTTAGACTGACCTATGTAGCTTTGACCTTTTGAACTGACACATATAATATTGCTGTGGTTGGTTGGGAACCTGGAGTGACATGAGATTAGGTACGTGAATCATTGAGAGGAACTCTTCGGATCCATTGTTGCTAGTTCCTGGTTGGACCTGCGTGTGTACGTGTGTGTGTCTGTGTGTGTGGTTGAGTGTTAGTGTGTAAATCTGTGTGTATGTGTGCGTGTGCGTGTGTGTGTTGGTCGGTTAACTGATTGGTTAGTTGTTAAACCGGCCGGTTGGGTTTGTTTGCCGAGTACCCAAAAAACCGGCTCGGTTTCGTAAACTCGGTTGAAAAAATTTTTTTTTTTAAATTCCACTAACTCACTCGCAAAAATCAATAGCCGAATAAATGAATAAAAACAATAAAAACATTTTTTTAAAAACTTTATCGGACCCCACGTACTTTCATAGAAACCACGAAATTAGCATTAGTATTAATGTAATTCAATGTAACAAGTACAGTGACGGATAGTTACTTGTAAATCAATCTTAAATGTTACCAGATTGCTGACCTATTTACATGTAATTCATAGTAGATATAGCATAGGTGACCTAGTTACATGTAGCTGATCTAGTTACATGTAATTCATAGTAAATGCTACAATATAGATGACTTGGTCACACATAATACACAGTAAATGTTGTAACATAACTGACTTAGTTACATGTAATTTAACGTAGATATTATAATAAGACTGACCTAGTTACATGTAATTCGACGTAGATATTATAATAAGACTGACCTAGTTACATGTAATTTAACGTAGATATTATAAGTGACCTAGTTACCTAACGCAAATATTATAAGACTGACCTAGTTACCTAACGCAAATATTATAAGACTGACCTAGTTACATGTAATTTAACGTAGATATTATAAGTGACCTAGTTACATGAAATACACGGTGATTACCTGCAAGGGAGCGTGCAGCAGAAGATCTTCGGCGTGCAGGCAGAGCACATCCCATGGTATGTGCAACTTGATGAAATGTGTCAATTTTTTTCCATCTGATATAGTTTCCTAGATGACGATGATGATGATGGTGGTGGTGATAATGATGATGATGATGGTGGTGGTGACGATGATGATGATGATGGTGATAATAATGATGATGATGGTGATGGTGACGATGATGATGATGGTGGTGGTGATGGTGACGATGATGATGATGGTGGTGATAATGATGGTGACGATGATGGCGATGAGGATGGTTACGGTGACAAAAGTTTGAAGATGTCAATCTAACTCTTTCCATTTGCAAGCCGATTTTTTCTAGGTTGTCCAAGAATCTGCAGTTTATCAATTGTGTGAAAAATAAGGTTTTTTTTAAAAAACTAATTATGCCAACTAATTAATCAAACAATCGATTAATAAGCTGCCTAATCTATCATTCAACCAATTAATTAGTTTTCATTCAATTAACTAACGAGTCAATCAATCAACCAACCAATTAACCATCCAACCAACCAACCAATTAACCATCCATCCATCCAACCAACCAATTAACCATCCAACCAACCATCTAACCAACCAATCAACCAACCAATCAATCAACCAACCAACCATCCAGCCGACCAACAAACCAACCAACCAGCAAACAAACCAACCTAATCCTCCATGCTTCATGTTTCTCTCTGGTGTTCAGCTTACTCATGGCCCGCTCGTCCATCGATTCGGCTAATTTCTTCTTCTCCTCACTGATGGTTTGAGAGGCATTTTCTTCATACACCACCACGAAGTCTTTGTAGAGGGATAGACGGATGGATTGAATGAATGAATGATTGAATGAATAAATGAACGACTTAATAAAAAAAGGAATGAATGAACAAATGAACGACTGAATGAGTGAACAAATGAAAAAAAAACTAAAAAACAAAATAATGATTGGTTACATGACCGAAAATTTAAAAAAATGAATGAATAATGAGAATGATCAATAGAATGATCGAATGACTGATTGCTGTGTGTGTGTCCGTGTGTGTGTGCGTGCGTGCGTGTGCGTGCGTGTGTGTAAAACAAACTGACTGAGTGATGGATGAATCAGTCAATGTCATAAAAGAATTTAATGATGGATCGACGGCTTGATGGCTGAATAAGTAACACGCGCGAGACTGATGACTGGATGAAAGAATTATCAAATTTAAAATAATGAATGAAGGAACGAGTATGTGAATGAATAGATGAATAAACGAGTGAACGAACAAACAAATGAATGAACAAAGGAATGAATGAACAAATGAATGAACAAAGGAATGAATGAACAAATGAATGAACAAAGGAATGAACAAAGGAATGAATGAAGAAATGAATGAACAAAGGAATGAACAAAGGAGTGGACCAGCGTGATGACGTTCATTGACGTGAATATGAATATTTTCACTAAAGAGAAACAACGATGAACGATATAAATAACGAAAAAATTATTAATGAACTGAACAAATAAATGAGCGAATAAATGAATGAATGAAGAACGAACGAATGAATGAATGATTGAATGAATAAATGAATGAACAAACGAACAAATGAGTAAATGAACGAACGAACAAATGAATGAATGAACGAACGAACAAATGAATGAATGAATGAACGAATGAATGAACGAATGAATGAATGAACGAACGAATGAATAAACTCGACTTACCTATCTTTCTCTTGCCATCGTTGAAATAGCATCCGGAATTTTTTGTTGCCTTTTGAAGAGTTAAAATGAAAATTTTTTACAATAATGATAACAAGAAAAAAAAAGAAGAAAGAGAGAGAGAGAGAAAGATAGAGAAATAGAGAAAATGAAAGAGAGAAAGAGAGAGTGAGTGAGAGAGGATTGAATGTAAATGAATGAATATGAAAAAAAAACTATCGATTGAAGATAAATAAATCGCTGATCAAATGTTCTACCCATTTTATGACCATCGTAACATTAACATAACAACAACTACTACAACAACAACTAAACCACAACAACAACAACAACTACTACTACTACAATAAAAACCACAACATACAAGAAATGCCTTGGTCAATTGCAAAATCGTTCAATACTAAACACTTTAAAGATAATTCAATGGCAAATAAAGAACACGTGTTTACTGTTCATTTGTTTATGTACGATTGTTCGTATGTTTGTTTGTATATGTATGTTTGTATAATTACCACATAAAAATGTAATAATAACAGTAAAATCAACAACATTGCGATATAATTATGATAATTACTTTGGGGTCAATGTCAACTTCAAGGTCGGATTTTTTTGTTGAACCGTAATCGTCCGATGGCAGAGCTTTCCCGACCGGAAGTAGGGTGGCGTCATCTCTTTCCGTCATCTGATTGGCCAGAAAAAAATGTTACCTCTTATATTCATTGGTCTGAGAAATTGGTTGCTTAATAATGATTGACTAGTTGATGTTTGTTATTTATCCATTAAAGAGCCAGAGGGATTTGATACTGAATTTTGATTGGTTTGAAACTTTTTTCTCTATAAATAGATTTAAAAAATTTAAAAAGATTTCATGGAGAAATGTGATATCTTTATAATTGAAATATTATTTTTGGAGATCGAATGAACGCACTGACACCGGCACACACACACACACACACACACACACACACACACAAAATAATTTAAATATAAATAGCTATAATTAAATCAAATAAATAATAATTAAATCAAATAAGTTACCTTATACTGAACGTAAAAACCAAAATGTTCATTCAAATTAATTGAAACATAACAAACAATGTTAATTATAATGTAATATAATCAATAAATAAACGAATTAATTAATTTATTAGGCAATTAACCATTCAAATATTATTATAACTATTTCTAAATATTAACAATCATTATTATTTAATTAAGTAATTAATTAGTAAATTTAGTGTAATCCAAAAATGATGTTAGCTCGTTCATTGTCGACAGCCAGAGCATGTGTGATTGTGTCGGTCTCACTGAACATCATTAACAGATGATTGTGATGATGACGATGATGATGACGATGATGATGACGATGATGATGATGATGACGATGATGATGACGATGATGATGACGATGATGATGACGATGATGATGACGATCATGTTTAC